GTGTGTGTGTATGTGTATGTGCCCGTGTCATGGCCCACGTGTGGAGTTAGAGGACAACTTGTGAGAGCTGATTCTCTTCTTCTACCACATGGGTCCTGGGGATAGAACTCAGGTCATCAGGCATGGTAGCAGGTATCTTTACTGCTGAGTCATCCTGCTAGCCCCACTAACTGATCTTTTATGTCTTATAGAGTTTATAATGAGTAAAAGATTATATAAGGGTAATAATTCATCTGTAAACCTAGAAATGTACAGCCAATTTTGAAAGAGATGTACCCTAGCTCAGAAAAATGTTATTGAATAGGTTAATGCTGTTGTAATGAAATGCTTCTTTTAATTAAAATAAAAAAAATGAGAAAAAAATTTTTTATATTTTATCAAGTAAAAAAATAAATATTTTTTTCAAACATCAAAAACAACAACAACAACAAAAAAAAAAAAACAAAACATAAGAAGTTTTTTTTTTAAATTAAGCATAAATGACAGGTGAAGGTTGCCTCAGAAAGAATGCCCTCCCACCTCAAATGAGTTTACCTATAAGTTGGTAAAGTCGGGCTCTCTGTGGGCTAATAGTTGTACAGCACATTTGAGGGTACATTTTATATACAGTTTTAGAAACAGACAGCATGCAGACTTTTTGAAGGAAACACAGTGGAACCCCGAAGATGTGTGTGAAATGCTATACGATATCCTAGAACACATTTAGGGAAAAATTTTGCTAAATTGCTGCTATAGCCCCTAAGTATAACAATACACAGTTACCACATTTAAAGTCCAGGAAAGTTCAAGTTTCAAGCCACAGCACAGTGGAATTGTCTGTCCAGCTTGGCATGTGCTGTCTGGAGCACATGGCTGAAGTTGCCCATAGAAAGGCATGGTCCACTCACTGAGAGTCGGGAGACATATTATCTATTCTACCCACTCACTTGACTCAGTGACTCAACATTGCCAACATTGTAAACCAACTCGATTGTCTGCCTTTTGAGGATGAGTTAGAAGAAGGAAACCCAGGAAAAGATGACCCCTGGGGCTCAGTGCTGTGTGAGGAATCTTCTTTTCAGGCAAAGCACAACAAACTTGAATGGTTTAGGCCGAACACCTTTATAGACCACATTGTATTATGACTCTACAAAATGCATCAACACAACTTCACATTGTCCTGAAAATGTAAATTGGGTTTGCACGTGCTCAGATAAGGCAAGAAAATGTAAAGATTTTTTAAAAAGTTGTTAACAAAAATAGTTAAAATGATCTAATTGTGGGGCTGGAGAGATGGCTCAGTGGTTAAGAGCACTGACTGCTGATGCAGAGGACCCGGGTTCGATTCCCAGAACCCACATGGCAGCTACAAACCATCCTTAACTCCAGTTCCAGGGGAATCCAAAGCCCTCTTCCGATCTCTGCAGCATTGCATGACACGGGTGCACTCACACCTATGCAGGCAATACACTCATACACATAAAAGTAAGTAAAATATTTAAAAAAAAGATCCAATTGTTATGGGGTTAACTTTAGTTTTCTGGAACATTGACATCATGGGAGGTTAAATTATTGGAGGAACTGAAAAAATAAAGCATGGATGTATGTCTTCCCACCATGCATCTCCCTGCACAGGGCTACAGAATATTTAATCTTTATCTCATAAGTGCTAATGTGCACGGAACAGCTTTTACAGAGTTCATTTGTGCTGACAAAAGATTGCTCTATCAGTGTTTTGTCAGGAAGCCAGGAACAGGGTGAATGTCAAAGAACCTTCTACAAGGAAAGTAGAGTTTAAAACCACGAGGCGCAGAGAGAGCTGGGTAAACCACAGAGACACAGGTGTACAGCAGCAAGGACGCGGCCAGGGAGGAGGGAAGGGAAACTCATCCTTGGAGACGATCTGAGTCCCGTGGTCTTTGTGATGATGGAGCCAAATCAGCTAGACATGTCCCCTGTGTTTCTGACGGTGTTTGAGTTATGAGTTGAGAGGACCACAGCCTTGTTTGGGTGTTTACGTACATTAAGGGGGGAAATGCCTTTCTTACCACAAGGAAGGTCACCTTGAATGGAAGAGGCAAGCTGTGTGTACCGTGTGCTGTGCTGGTATTGTTGCTCCCCTGGGCCTCTTAGGCTTTGCCCATTTTCCCCTCTCTCCAATCCTCCATTTCTTCTGCCTGGAAATTTATTATATTTATTTTCAATTGACACATAGTAATTATATGTATTTATGGGCACAGCATAACTTTTCAATACAAGTGGACAGTGTATTGTGATCAGTACAGGGACATTGGCATATTTGTCCTATCACACAGATATACCATTTCTTTGTGATTGGGACATTCCAAGTCCTCTCTAGCAGCTATTTTGGAATAGCCAATTACTTACTGCCAATCATGTGGGAAGAACATTCGAAGTGATTCTAGCTGTCTTACTATGTCCCTGCACCCATTGTCCAGTTTCTTTCCATCTGTCCCTCTCCCTCAGTATTTACTGAGCTCATATTGTGAGGCAGACACCGGTTATGACTAGAGATAGAGCCAAAAATGTGCTCTGTCAAGGACAGAAGAGACTGTTCTTGCTGCCACAGAACTTTCATCACACTGTGGGTCAGAGAGGTGTGCCAGTCAGAAATTGCGATGAGCGTGCTCAGCCCTGCAACAGGGAGGAAAGCACAGGCAGAGCCTTTTCCTACCAAACTTGGGAGGCCAGGAATGCTTCCCAGAGATGGTGATGTCTAGATTCAAAAGACAAGCACAGTCAGCCAGGAAGGTGGGATGGGAAGAGGATTAGATGTCCCAGGGAAGAGGAGTGGCATTTCTGGGGCAGACAGGAGCAAGAAGGATGAAGTGCAGGGACTGAAGTGTTCCCCCGTTGCCAGAGCATGGAGCACGAGAGAGCTCTGGAGAGGATAGGGCACAGTGATCTTGGAAGACAGGCAGCTGACTATATTCTAAGATGAGTGGGAAGCCATTCAAAGTTTTGCTCAAAGAATAATGTGAGAAGATTTGCATTTGGAACACTTATTTTGGCAATTCAGATGGGAAGGGCAAGACCAGAAAGTGTTGAAATACGTGTGCGTGCGTGTGTGTGTGTGTGTGTGTGTGTGTCTGTGTGTCTGTGTGTCTGTGTGTCTGTGTCTGTGTCTGTGTCTGAGTCTGTGTCTGTATATCAGATAAAGATGGCAATTGATTGGATAGTGTGTGTGATGTCAAGGTCACTGCAGCTGTCCTACTTGTTCATCTTAGTGTCAATAAATAAAAACAGTATGGGGCAGGCAGACCTTATTTTAGGGATGGAGTGATAGAAAGTTGAAGCTCAGGCTTACTGACATTGTGGTGGAAGTGGGATGGTCAAGGGGAAATGCCGCTGAATCTGAAATCTAAGTTTGAAAGAAATCAGCAAATAGAGTCCGCCCAAAGCTGAAGGGATGAGTTAAGATCTTTTAGGTGGGGTGTGCAGTGAGAAGAGAAGACAGCCCATGGTAGGACTGTGAAGGGGGTGAGCATCTGAGAGAGAGAGAGAGAGAGAGAGAGAGAGAGAGAGAGAGAAGAGCATCTAAACTGGGGCTGAGTGGGGTCTCATCAGAGGGAAGGCCAAGAGGACCCAAAAATGCTTATTGGATGATTTCACAGGAAATCATTATGACTGTGGTGAGAGAAACTTCTGGAAATAAGCTTGAAGACAGACATATAGTCGAGATGAGTGTTGGAGAGGAGATGAACAAAGACATAGAGGTGAAGCCATCTTTTTAAGGAAGCTTGGCTGAAGGATAGAAGAATAACACGCATGTCGAGTGGTGGTGGGGTGAAGGCGGTAGACTCTGGGTCAGCCTTGAGCTCGCTCCCACTCACTGGGAGGAGCCATGGGAACAAAGAGTCTGAGGTTGATGTTTTGGAGGAGGGAGGAAAACTAGTGACCGAGGGTCATGGGAAGGGATGGAATCCAGAGCAAGAACACCAGCGCCTCTGATTGGAGCAGAGGAGAAGGATGCAATAGCTGGTGTTTTATAGCATGCTGTTTTCATTGTGTGCCTTAAAATGCTTCTCCACAGACACTACCCAAAGCAGTCCTTCACCACCGTGGCCGACACACCTGAGAACCTGCGTCTGAAGCAGCAAAGTGAACTGCAGAGCCAGGTAATTTCCAGAAGGCCCATTTTATGATGTTGGTACTAACAACGATTTGCAAGCCATCCTTCTGAGACTTTTGTTGTTGGATTATTCGTGTCCATCACCAGCCATTGTGGAGACTGACAACAGGCCTGTCTGGGCATCCTGGGTGAATGTACAAACATCTCATTGCTCCTGGTCCTGGATCATCTGATATTGTTGAGTTCGATATTCAGATGAGACTAGGAGTCTGGTCAGAGTGAATGTTTCCCAACAATATTGGTTTATTCGGTCCTAAATATTTAAAAACATTTTGTAAATAGCTTTTCCACACCACATATGTGGGGGAAACACAAGGTGTTACTTGACCTAGAAGCACTGCATGTGGGGCTAACACCCTGTCTGTGGATCTCACACCAGCTACTAGTTTTGTTTTCATCCTGTCACTTTATTCATATTTTTTTCATATGTCACATTGACAGCATGAACAAAGATTAGAATGCTGCAATTGGCTCCCAGTCAGCCATTTTGGATGCCAAGTTGCCTTCATATGGTGAAGGACTTCGGCTAAGACTAGGGTTTTGAAGGTAGGGTTTTCTACAGGGACAGCCAGTCTCAGGCACAAGACACGCAAAAACGTTACCTTGACTGACACAGTGTAGAAGGATGCTGAACAATGCGGCAGCACATGGTTGGTCAACTGTATAGTAAAAACCATACCTAGGAAGGAGGAAGGAGGTGGGAAGAAGAAAGAGGAAAGAAGGAGGAAGGGGGAAGGAAGAGGGAGGAAGAGGGAACACCTTGCATCTGTTCATTAGTTGTGGTCTAGAGTCAGCTGCCTTGATTCTGTAAATCAAGACTGTCTGTCTTGTTTACCTTTCTGGAGGTGGCCGCAAGCATCATATGAAGTAGGGGGCCGGAAACATTTTGGAGAGTTAAGAAAATGAAGTTTGTGAGGCTTATGATGCTGTGTTCTGGAGAATTCCTGGTATGAAAAGGGGAAAAAGTGGGGAATTTGTAAAGAAAAGGGGTATACAGCTGGTAGTCTTTGAAAGTGGCAGTGAGTAGTTCTTTAAAAGAACTGTCATTTGCTTAGGGTGAGATGATATCTGTGTGGTTTATCTGATCACAGAGGGAGATTGTGACATCCTTCATCCTCGTTCTGTGGACTGGAACTACTTCTCAGTGACTTTAGTTATAGGAAATGGAGCTCAGAGTAGATTTTACTGTTGGTTAACAACACAATGAAGACTTAGCTGAGAGCTAACGTTTGACTTGTGACTTTTGTGGAACCATTACTTCCAAAATTGGGTGCTGGATAAGGCAAGGCCCTGATTTGGACTTGTAAAGATGCCCCTGCTTGTTCATGTTGCCAGGGTACCAGGTCCAGGTCCAGCTTATGTAACCTTTAATATATCTTTCTTTTCCCCAAGCGATGGTTGATCAAATAATCATGTACTTTGAACATATCAGAAAACAGAACCAAGTCCAGCAATCAAACACCTGTTTCCTATTACACACCCAGTACTACATAAAATAACTTTTAATTGCTTGATCTCCCCACTGAGACAACGGAGCATGTGAGGACAGAGGACTAGGACACACATGGAGTGGCCAGGCTTAATATGGACTCAGAAGGAGAGGGATCTGTGTGGATTGGACTCAATAGTGCTTTATGCTCATGGTGGTATGTGTAGTCTTGAAGGTGGAGAAGGAATCTAATAGAAACATCAGCTCTGTTCTTTGGAAGCATACTACTCTCTTCAAACTCTGAGTGGTTTTAGGTGCTTTCAGCTCAGCTCAAGAGTCAGTGTCCCTTAGTTCCCTACCATATGCTGACTTTGGATATGCACACTGAGAAGGTGCTTGCGGTTGTTTGGAAGTCTGGTTTTGTTTTTCCCTGCATAGAAAGCTGCAGATTTCATAAACAGCATGTCCAGATGATGCTACGCAGGTGGGACAAGAGTGAACAGAGATATGGGCAAAGTGCTGTGGGATCCCAGGCTGTAGCCAGGTGAAGACATCAGATGGTCTATAAAATTTTGCTTAACTGTGATTTTCTCCTGAAAGAAAATGTAGTGTGCCATCAGGCAGGCAATACGGAAAGTTCAGCTCAGTTCAGGTAATGTGAGCCCATTGCCTGCTACGTACAAGGAGCTAAGCAGTACTTCGGGGTATAGAGACACTGTCATCATCATCAACCAACCCTGCTGCATGTAGCCAGCATGTAGCTCTGAATCTTTTATTATATCTCAAACAACAGGCAGGCATTTATTTGTTTTTCCTTATTTGGATGAAAGACAACTTAGCAAGGATTTAAATTACTTGATGTGGGTCTTTCCCTCCCCTCGTGGGCCGTTGGCCACCGACCCATGAGAACAAAGGGAGCAGAAGCGATGAACAGGGTCAGGATGGCCAGTGAGCATGATGGAAAAGACCTTCCTGGAGTCTGCTTCAGTGATACAGCTCGTTTATTCAGGGGGTCAGGGAAAAATATAGGGTGGAGATGGTAGCCAAATTTCAGCTGATAGGTGCTCATAGTATGCTTTATTTACATGTGGTAGGGGGATCCTATCATCTGGTAGAGGGCAATGCCCAATTATCATATGGAAAAAAACCTGGGGGCAGTTTTATTGCAGGTAACTATGCCAAAGGTTCTGTTCCAAATAAGGCCAGGCATCCGTGCTTGGAGGCACTTTCCAGATAAGGTCAAGCAGAGAGCAGGAAGCCCCCACTGAGAAAGGGAGTACTCCATATAGCGCTGAGCTACTTAGAGCTATCTGGACATGGTGGACTACAACCTTAGCAGCAGGGTCCCCCAACAACTTGATCTAACAATCTTACCTTATAAAGAATAAAAGTTAGAGTTAAACCTGTGAAGCCCTAGTGCCTTAATCAGTACCCAACTCCTGTTGCTCAGGAAAAAAGTCTGTAAGCAAATTATTGCAATATGACAGGTATGAACTACACACACACGTACACACACATGTATATATGTACATAGGAATGAAGATTTTCTCATGAGTCAGGAGTAGGAAGAAGAGTCACTAGAATCTATTCTAATTAAATTTCTAGTAAGAAGACTACTTCTACTTTTTTGGAACAATAGAAAGACATCTTTCGATATTGTAATACTTAGTAATGGCATTTGATCTGCTTTTAGCTTATGAAATGATTCAGATTTGCAACAGACCATTTCCTTAGAGGTTTTACACCTGGGATTCTGAACAGCTCACCAGTTTGGGTGGAAAACTGATGATCAATATTTTGAATGCTTGTTTTGGCCGTTTGTGATGCTACATGAATTAAATAGATTCATAGTCTGGAGTCTTCAGATTCTGAAATCTTTTTGAGTTGTTTGCTAAAACTAGTTATTTTCTTTTGGTTCATTAGCTGATTTATCAAATGAGAAAAAAATTAAGGAAGCAACAAAAATTAGTTTTCAGCCCCATGAAGACAGATATTTATAGCTACAGGCCATTATCTCTTTTCTTTTCTTTTTCTTTTCGTCTCCTCTCTACCCTTTCTGGGAGGATTTTAAATGCCGGCAGTATTATAAACTGTGTACTTCATCCCTTCAAGCTTTTATGGGATTGATAGGTGCCAAGTTGTCATCATAAACTGAGATCAAGTACTGGAGAATAAACAATCCCTCTAGTAGTTTGTGGCTCAGAACTAGTGCTAGCCAGCAACTCATGGGTATTACCCAACTTGTGAACAACCAGGGAACATGCACTTGACCAGACACTGTTGGTCCTGCTGGATGTGGACTGCCCTGGAACTTGGTGTTCAAGAGGGAGAGAGGGAGGGAAATTTCTTTTATCATCACTAGTGCCCTTTTAATCTCAGATCACAGGGAGAACTGCTTCAAAACATTGCGTCAGTGGTGCTTACGAACTCCCACTGGCCTGTGTAGCCCATTCGCTAAGAAGCAGAAGTAGAACTTCCCTTTTAGTAGAATTAGTAATTCACCTGCGGAGTAGCATGTGTTTATAGCTTGCCTTGGAATCAGAATCATGCCTCCTCCTCCTTCCCCTCCTCTTCTTCCTTCTCCTTTTCCCCGTTCTTTTTGCTGAGAAGGTGAGCGAGCCCTGGCCTAGAAAGATGGTTAATTGGGTAAAGACACTTGCTGTCAAGCCTGAGGACCTGAATTCCATCCCTGAGACCCTCATGGTAGGAGGAGAGAACTTCTGACCTTCACATACATATGTACACACACACACACACACACACACACACACACACACACACACATACACACACACACACACACACACACACACACACACACACACACACACACACACACACAGACACACACACACACATACACACACACACATACACATACACAGACACACACACACACAGACACACACACAAACAAAACTTGGAATCCAAACTGATTTCAACTTGGGGGATCCTTAAACTTTTAAAACCTCCAGACAGATGAAATTTCCTGAGTTTATTTTTTAATATTCTGTTGTGGGAATCTTTTCTTTTATCCGGCTGGGTAACCCACATTCAAAGCAAATGCTCAAATGTTTTGAGTCCTGTGAGTCTGGAGTCTGCAGACTTTATCATAGCATTGGAAATGGTTCTTCAATCAGTGTTCAGTGGAAGCCAACTTCTGCCCCCAGGAAAGAGAAGAAAGTGAGGATGTGCAGATGAGGCAGGTAGGGGCAAATTCCCTCCTCATCCCCTGACTACTCAACTTTTCACTCTCAGGGTGTTTGGAGACCCTGCACCTCTATAGGGTACAGCTTTGAAAACTGCTCCTCAAAATGAAGATGCTGTTGGCAGCCTCCCCTCTTAGCTGCTACGGTTAGCTCTCTGCAGTCCTCTTGGAAACAATAGGACTGGGCCTCATCGTGTTCTTGAATGGAGTGCATGTAACTTATGGTCACTGATACCACGAAAGATTGAAGATGACTATGGACAGGATCCAGATCATGCTGGTACCTTGGAGTCTGCAGTTTGCACTCTGCTGATTGTGTTCTAATCACCCTAGTTCTTACAGAGGCATA